AAAGGCAATTGATATAATTACAGTATCAAGAAAGGGCTGGGCAGTCCAAAAGATATCCTTGTCAAAGAATATAAATGGTCAATGACAAACCTGTGAGGATCACCAGGGTCACAGTTTGACAGGAAGTTAGTGATAGCTTCTGCCACTTCTTCATTTAATAGGACATCCCAGAGACCATCTGTAGCTAAAATCAGCACATCATCTGGCCCGTGCTCATACTGGAGAAGGTCATATACTCTTACCTGAAAACAATATTTTAAAAAGAGAAGGAAAGGAACAACAAAAGATTTTACTGAATGGGTATCGTGAGTTTTCATTACTGGAAAAACAACCTAATGTCCTTGGCAAGTAACTTCATGTGCAAGTAAACAATGGCTTCGCTGCACCCCTGCACACCTAGAAACTCTTCCCCTCAGAAAAATGCAGGAACTGGAATCTCCTAAAATAATATTCAGCCCGCAAACCTATCATGCAGGAAATGACATTACAAGCAATTCCAATCTATTTTGATAGCTTGCCCCAATTTAAGACTAGATTCCCTGCTTCAAAACCAATGCAGTGGATGGACCAACCCCTGAAAATCAGCTAATCAGCCATTTTTACCTTTGGGGGGGGGCATGGCCATAAACCCAATGTGAAATACAGGCTGAATCAGGATTGCAGAAGTTACATAACAAACCTTATAAAGTGGTGTGTGAAGAATTGTTTCCCATCTGTGGCCCCCCACCTTCAAATGTGCCAGGGCCTCCCCAAGGAGCCATATGGCTGAGCTAGATGATAGTCAAGTGAATTTACTGCCACAAGCCCTGACTGATCAGCCAGAAGCCACTGAAAGTATAAGATAAAAATCTAAGACTATACAAGTTTGGGGGTTTTTTATTGGGGGGATAGGAACAACTGAAAGTATCCTTAGTGATTAATACTAGAATATTTATCATAGTCCCATGCACAGATTTATGATATGACAAGTGCTCTCCAACATCTTGTTGACTATGGCTTCTTAGAATACACTCTAGCTGAGCTGTCAGATTACATTGAACCAGCATGAATGTGAGTCACTTTATTTCCATGTGCATTTTCTAGTTGTGTTGTACTCCCAACTGTCAAACCACCTGGCTCCTTGATTTCCAAAAATGAAACTCTCAGGAGTCCTTCTAAACTACCGGCTGAGCACTTTACTAAATCTAGCAACTCTTTAAAGTAAGTAACTTCATCACAGCAAACAAGGGGAAATTATTATCTGGAGTAAGATTCAGAAACAGTACACTGTAGGAATGAGGCTTCCATTTGTTCTGGACTACCAATTCCCAGGCTCCACCAAGAATTCCCCTAGGGAGAATCCTGGAAGCTGAATCCCCAAATTGTAGTTTTCATGCATCCACATAGACCTCTGTTGCCATTGTAGTGGCTTTTCAAGGAGGAGGAATGCTTCCAGTGGCACCTGGAAGTGGTGCATGGGTTTGTGGGGCCCTCAAGGAAACATGGGACAGGTACATACACGGCCTATTCAGCTTCTCAAAGAACTACCCATCTCATGCTCTCTTGAGGCTCCCACAGACTTTTGCACCATTGCTAAAGACAGCAATTTCCTTCTACTCTAAAGGCCAGTATGATGGCAACAGAGGCCCACACAGAGATGCAAAATGCTCCTCTTTAAACTACTGTTTTGTGGCTGCAGTTCCCAGGATTCTGTCTGGGGGGGATTCCTGGCAAATAGGGAATTTTAGTTCAAAGGAAACAGAAGCCCCATACCTACAATGCACTTCATCTGTAATGCTATGTTACATAGCTGAAGCAGTCAGGGCTTCACTGATATGCTGGGAAACACATTTGGCATGGCCAAGAAAGCCATTTATTCTGTCTCATTAGTCTTCAAAATCTAGGAACTGGACATTAATACAGCAGCCTCCAAACCTGGTGGTTCCTGAAGCACTGGACTACAATTCACAATCTCCTAGCCAAATGGATCTGCGACTCCAGCAGCTGCACTTCAACATTTCTAGAGGAACCAGATTTGGAAAGGCTGCTATACAGAGTACTTAGCAATCTGAATGCAATTAACTCCTACTGCAAATCTTTTAAGTACTGGAGCAAAGCAGATTTTTTTAAAAGGTGCTATGTTAATCTCTTTTATTCAGGTAGAAAATACAATTAAATACTTAGAAGCCAACCACACACATACACAACTGTTCAAAACAAGAGTGCAAAAATGGCAACCCTGCAGCTGAGGGACATACCTCATCTCCTCTAGATGCCAACAATGTACTATATAACAAAGTATTTTAACATCTGAAAACTATACAGCATAACTGCGAATAAGAAAAGACAAATGTTTGTGAAATTGTGTTTGCAAGGTTCATCAATAGATATCTAAGAAAGGAAATAGCCCTGTAGGACTTTAAAGTGTTACAGTAGCAGGTAGATACAGCATTAGGACACAAGAGGATTAGGTTCAAATCCCCACTTGGTCATGGAAATTTACTAAGGGTAGCAATGGCAACCCACTCCTCAAATTTAACATATAACAGGCTTAGACTGTGATCCTAAAATGATCAGCTAGGGAGGAAGTCCCCGTGAGCATACTTTACCTTGGCCTAATCTACTACATAAAAGTAATATCAGGAAGCACAATGTAAAAATGTCCTCCTCTCTCTGTCTTCCTCCAGTTAAAGAGCCTATGTGCCCAGGCAGGATGAATGCAATTTTGAGTTCACCAGAGGTAGAGGGGATAGAGGTATTATATTGACATCGTCTAACAAGAACCATTTTTGGTCTGCCTCACGCTTCTCTCATTATACCCTGTAATAATATGCAGACACCAAGGACTTAAGATCTGCTTACTTTTACTTCCATCCTCCTGCTGCTTATGTCTAATAGCTTGCTTGATGAAGAGATAATATTTTTGAAAGTTTGCACATTTTCATGTCTCTTTGGTTATATAAGATGGAATTTGCTTGTCCCAACACTGCTATCACTTTTTTTGTTTACTTTTCTTTTCCTTTTTTGGCCAATACAGTGAGACAGTCTTCCAAGTAAATGGCCAGAATTTATAAAGACCGTAATGACAGGACCTTTTGGAGGTCAGAAATTCAAATACACACCTTGGTAGCACCTTAACATTCATTAGGCATCCTGAAAGACTATGATAACGTGCTCTCTATGGAGGAACAGCGTCTAGTGTGGCTGAGGAGGCCAATTTGAGAGTGACAATCCCTTCCACACTGAAGATGACTAAGCTTCTTATTGAGCCATACTCTCTTTGTGAGTCTAGAGAACATGGTAGCTGCTTTGCCAATGCGCTTATCCAGCTCAACATCTAGAGAGAGTGTGTCAGAGATCTTCAGCCAAGGTACACAAAGTCATGAACAACCTCCAATTCATGTGTGGAGATGGTAATAGAGGGAGGTGAGTCCACGCCCTGGCCCATGACTTGTGTTTTCTTCAGGCTGATTGTTAGTCCAAAGTCTTGGTGGGCCTTGCTAAAACGATTCATGAGTTGTTGGAGGTCTTCAGCAGAGTGGGCAACAATGGCTGCATCATCGGCGAAGACAAATTCCCGTATGTATTTCAGTTGGACTTTGGTCCTTGATCTCAGTCTAGAGAGATTAAAGAGCTTTCCGTCTGATCTAGTCCGGAGATAGACACATTCTGTTGCACTTCCAAAGGCATGCTTCAGCATGACAGAAAAAGGACCCCAAAAAGGATTGGTGCAAGGACACAGCCCTGTTTCACTCAGCTTCGGATGTCAAAGGGATCTGATGTTGAGCCATCAAAAACTACAGTGCCTTTCATTCCCTCATGGAAGGACCTGATGATGTTGAGATGGACATCCAATCTTGGGATGTATTTTAAAAAGGCCATCCCTGCTAACCAAATCAAAGGCCTTTGTGAGATCTATGAAGGCCACAAAGAGTGGCTGTTGTTGTTCCCTGCATTTCTCCTGCAACTGTCTGAGGGAGAATACCATGTAAGTTGTGAAAGCTATTAGTTCAAAATCCACACTGTGATTCTGGATAGACTCTGTCTGCAAGCACCTGGAGCCTCTTCAGCACAACACGGGCAAGCAGCTTCCCTACAGTGCTAAGAAGAGAGATGCCACGGTAGTTATTGCAGTCACCCCTGTCTCCTTTGTTTTTGTACAATGTGATGATGTTTGCATCCTTCATGTCCTGTGGTACTCCACCTTCCCTCCAGCAAAGACGAAAGACTTCATACAGTTTGGTGGTGATGATCTCTTTACAGAACTTCAACACTTCAACAGGGATGTTATCCTTTCCAGGTGCCTTGCCGGCACCTGTTAAGGTTGGTTCGCTGTCCAACTCTTCCAAGACAGGCAGGCACTCAATGTTATTTAATGCTTCTTCAGTTACTACATTCTCTCTGGAATATAGCTCAGAGTAGTGCTGCACCCAGCGTTCCATCTGCAGTGCTCGGTCCTGGATGATCACACGTGTAGCAGACTTCAAGGGAGCAGATTTCTTCTGTATTGGACCTAAAGCCTGCTTGATACCGTCATACATTCCTTTGATGTTACCTGTGCCCGCTGTTATTTGTATCTGAGAGCACAGCTGAAGCCAATAATTGTTGGAACATCTCCTGGCAGCCTGTTGGACTTGGCTATGAGCAGCTTGAAGAGCTTGCAAGTTGTACTCGCTAGGACAAGCTTTGTATGCTGCTAGAGCCCTCTTATCCTCGATGGTTGGCATCAGCTCCTCTGAATGGACTTCGAACCAGTCGGCTATCTTTTTGGTCTTCTTGCCAAAGGTGGACAAGGCAGTGTTATACACAGCGTTCTTGAAGTGTTCCCATCGTTCAGGTGCATTTGCATCAGCCGGACCTGGAAGGGTTTCCTCAAGCACTTGGGCAAATTCCTCCACTTTTCTTTAACAACACACATGAATATTATCATGCTATTAGATAGAAGCAGAGAATTGTTTGGCCACACCTGCCGTAATCTCTCACCAGTAATTATACTGCTATGATTGGTGGGAATTACAGGCCTAAGACATCTGGAGGGCCACAGCCGCCCCATGCCTCTGGCAACTCACAAAGCAATGAGACTTCCTTATCTTCTATTTCATATTCAAGCTACGACTGCAACCGTTTTTCAGAGGCACCCACACCCAGACAGTTTGCCACTATGGCACTTCTCCCATTCCACACACACAAACTGACTAGCAGTGGAATAGCAATCCCTTCCATGTCCAAGGTCAACAGATCACTACAAGGGACAAGACAGGGTGTGTGGAGCCCACAACTCTTAACAGTGGGAGATGAAGAACAATCAGTCATTGATACTGCAGCATGTGCTAGCTGAGATGACTGTTTCAGTCTGCTTCACTTGCTGGCTCTTACTATTTCTTATAGGGATTTTCTATAGAATACTCCCAAGCGATGCTCCATTGAGATTTTTTTTAAAAAGTTTAAAAGCCCCACCCTGCCCCCATTAGGAAATGTGACTATTTTACCTCCGGTGATGAGGACAAAAATGGCTTGATGTAGATGTTTGAGTCATGCACCTTCAAGTCATGATCTCCAAGTCCTCTTGTAACCCCAATTGTTGCCATGACACGGGCCTAGGAACAAGAAGATATACCATAAGGACCTAAAAAATATGCTCAGTAACAAATTCCACCAGGACAAAAATCATCACCTCCATTAAAACTTTTTCATCCTACTAAGTCTTAACCCAAAGGAGACCAGATGTTGTTATCAATTGTGACCCAAACTCTTCGACATGCAGTATTACCCTGGTAAGAGTTCCAGGAAACCATATTTCTCATTTATTCCTTTCCCAGGCTGTTTGCAAAGCCACCACAATAGGACTGAACTGTGCTGTAGAAGTCTGGCAGGGAAGGGAGAGAGGCATTCATCCTATCTTAGGGAGATCTCCCATTTCTCCTTGAACCCTAAAAAGGGTCTAAAACAGGGGTAAGCAGATCACAATCTACAGGTAGAGCTCTGGGTGATTTGCAGAAGAATCTCAGAATGGCAAGAATTTCTAACTCCTCAAACTGTCCCCCAATAAGCACAAATAAAAACATTTCCCCCGTAGCCCAGTAAAGTTGATTACTGAAAACCATGGGACAAAACCTTATGTGAAAGAACCAGTCAACTAAACAAAATTCCTCAGTCAAGCATACTGTCAAAATTACACCTTAGCATACATATGCCTGCCTGGGCCACTATTTTGCACCTAATTTTGGCTGGTGGATTTCAGGGTTCTCCTCAAAAATGAGTATCCTACTAGCCCAATCTCCCTCCACTTGATCTAAAGGAGGGATGGGCAGCGCCCAGAGCTCTATGGTCACACTCCTGGACCTTCCACGAACATTTTTTTAAAAATTGGGACTCCCCTTTGTGCCTTCTAATGGACAAAAAACTTTTTTTAAAAAAATGGGGAGAGTCAGGGGTCCCAAGGAACCGTCAAAACAAGGTAAAATTGTCCCCACTGCCCCAGAAGATGCAAGAGTACTTTTACAGCATTCTTTTCCAAACAAAGAAATGGGTGGTGGGGGTGTGAGTGGAGATGCTGGAAGCCACACATTGCCCACCCTGATCCAAACAGAGGCAGGAATTCTCCTTTGAAAAACACTGCAGAGAAATTCATAGTACAATCAAACACCCCTTATCCCACTAGAAGCTCCTGTAACATGCTGTGATGTGTTCAAGATCCCTTAGCAACCTAGGTTAAGCCTTCGCTAGATATAATATGATTCCTGTGGCTGTTTATAAAAGGTAGACACTCCCAAAATGCCTCAAAAATATAAAGAAAAATAATAACAGTAACAAGATGTTTAAGCAAATAAGGAATAATTTCAAGATAAATTTGAACACCAACACACACCCCCAACAAAATGTACAAATAAGACAGAGCAGGTTTCAGCTCTGCATATCTAAAGATAGGGAATATTACAAAATTAAAATAAGCAGTCAAAACAAGGGAGAAGAACTGCTGAGAAACAGATTGAGCATACCAAATGCCAGCATTCTTGACAGCTCAGTGTCCTTATCGATCCTATAACTTCTATCAGGTTTGCCAGAGTCAGTGTTAATTAATGATCTTGTTGTTCATAATTATGCATTTCGTAACACGTACCTACTTGATAGAGTTCAGCCTCTTCTGCACATTCCGGCTAAGAAACATCCTCAAGCAGACTGAAAACTGTACTCAGTGGAAACTAAACCAACTTTATGCCTTTTGCCTTCAATCGGCTTACCAGGATACATTTAAATTGCTACTGAACTACAGGAAATCTAAATGATTACCATGTAAGTCCTGGTTGTTTGAAACAAAAGCAGAAGAATTAAATTTACTAGTAAATAATTTAGAGGCAGCATGTAGAGATTTATCAGAGACACAAGATTCTTTCAAACTGTCAGAATAATGAAATAAAGAGACAGAGAGGATAAAACACTGGACAGCTTGGAGCGAAATTGAATGGTAAACAGAATAAAGGTTTTTTTTTGTTTTTTTGTGGGGTTTTTGTGGTTTTTTTTGTTTTGTTTTGTTTTTGAAAAGACAGAACTCTTATTCCCACCTTCTTCCCTTCTCCATATATAAGGGGAAATTTCAAGTCATCCTCTTCAATGGTCTTGTATGCCCTGTGGGAGGATACACAATATTATATACAGGTTGGACTCCATTGTGGGTCTGGAGGTAGTATTTGTTGCATGTTTATCTATGCTTCATCGTCACAATGAGCTCTTAGATTCTCACCCTCATCTCACCCCCCTCCCCACTGCCGCCTGTAACCATTTTCAGAGGGATAACAGTGTTCATCTCTGGTGACACTGATACATTATATACCTGACATTATATATCTGCAACCCCCAAAAGCTTGTGTCATAATAACGCTGGTTATTCTTTACAGTGCAGCAAGACTCTTTGTACCCTCGCCGCTGGAGACTGGGTCATTTGAACAGCAATAGTTTAAACGAAGAACATGCAGATTTATACATGTTTTAATAGTGCATAGAAAAGTAAGTTAGAACAACATCCTGATTATGAAAACAGCATGTTGCTTGCATGAAAGAACAGAATTACATTATTGTTAGTTGTGAGAAGCAGCAGGTTTTGTAAATAAAGCAAGAAACTTTTTAAACAACTCTGATTCATTTTGTAGATTCAAGAGTCTCTGTAAACTACCATGAATGCATAAAGATCATCTTTAATCCTGAAAAATAGCACTCAACTGTCCCCATTAAATCATTAGTCTCTTTAAAAGTAGTTGAATTAATCAGGATAATCAACAGGAACAACTAAGAAATTATTGTGGTTCTTCACAGTCCTCTGGGATAGCTAGAGTAAAGTTGGGCTAAATTCTAAAGCACAGCTACTGAAACTACTTACTACAGTTTATTTAGGGACAGGCTAAAGTTCAATGCATAGACTTTAGATCACAACAACCAGAATCTCTTAACGGGACTCTAGGAGCTATAGTGCCCCCCAAAAGGCAATTTTCCAGGTTCTATGTATCACAACACACCTCTGATTTTGACTTAACAGCTACTATACAGAGAGATTTCATTGGCTGCCCATGTAATTTGAAAACAAGGCACACTCAAACAAACAGAAACACAGAAAGCCAGATGTCTGTTCACTGCTCTTAGTACCCCAGAGTCAAATTGCCAGAGAAAACTTAGTCTGAAAAAAACACTTGCAAGAAAAGGATAAATCAACTCACTGGCACTGACTGACAGGTTATCTCAGATGCAGAAAAGAGCACTGCCTCAAGATTATCCCTAATGAGGGTTATCAGTTAAATTGTTTTTAAGGAGGGGGGGCAGTGGAGGGTAAAGCCTAACATTTCTGTAAGAGGATGTCTGTGCTTGATTTAATAAATCCATTTACATTAAAGAGGTGGGGAGGAGGCAGTGCAGGTCTGGTGCTGTCTTCATAAAGTATTATTTTGCATTTCTCAATCTATTTATCCCTTTCCCTGCCAGACTGCCTGGCTGGGTTGCCAAAGGACACTGAACAGACCTATGTAGAATATGAGGATGTCCGTAACTACAATGATCTGTGGAACACAACTTGTGAGTTAGAAGCAGCAAAGCTCACGTGAGAGTCGGCAGCTTTGAAAGTAGTTGAAAAGTAGATTCAAGAAAAAGGAAAGGTTAAACCACACAATTTTAAAACACACACACAACAACAACAACAAAAACCAAGGAGAAGATTAAAATATAGATTCTTTTAAAAATCAGCGAGTCAAAGGCCTGGTCTGTGCGAGGAGGGGAAATAGCCATTTCAAACAGACTGGTTACATTCCAGGGAGGCAGAAAACACTGACTGTAAAAGAACACTGCAGGTGTTTGCGTCTTCTTCCTTTTGGCCTGGGAGGTGGCATGTCTATTGTTTGCCCAGAGGATGCCAGCCAGCCCTTTTGGGTTTTTAATACAAAACCTCTCACACAACAGAAATATATGATGCTAACTGAATTTCATGACACTAAAATCTCACAGAACTTAACCAGTTAATACTAGTTCAGGAAAATTCCTCAACAGTGGTATTGGCCTTTCAAGAGGACTGCAAACCAATTTAGGTCTCTTTCAGTTACAAGATCCCATCTAAAGTAGTTGATAAAATGTCATCTCAATGTCATCTCTGCTAATCAAAGCAGCACTTTGAGCCTGTGAGCCCTGGTTCTACTACCTCATTGGTAGTAATCAACAATTGGATCTTTGCTGTATTTTTTTTTTAAAGAGTGCTTCCCAGTGTTAAAAAGGGGGTGTATTCTTACCATCCAGTCATGTTGAAGTCTCTGTAAAGCATTCTTTTTCCAATTTCTTTGCGTTGAACTCTTCTTGGGAACTCCAAATGTGTAAACTCATTTCCAAGCAAGTGGGGCTGCATATATGCCTATAGGTTTATAAAAAGAAAAAGAGTACTAAAGGCTCTTCCATTTTTATTTTCAAAATTAATTCGGTATATGGGCTAATTAGAAGCAAACTGCCAATTTAAAATATTTCCAGAAGTTCCTAATTATAAGTCATCATTCTTCTCCCATGTCCATTCCACTGACTTAAAAAAAAAACTCCAAACGCAGAACTGTTAGACATTTGCCAATTGTTGCTGAAGACAATTTGTTTGTTTACAGATTTTGTATCAGACCACATTCTGCGTTACCAACATCATGTACATCTTTTCTGCCATATTGCATCACTTTGGCACCAATGTGCATTTCCACAGGTTGTACATGCACCAGCCTTACAAACTGTCAGTGCCACCAGGATTCCAGTCAGTGTTGACCAGTTTATGAGAGAGGAAGGGAGCCTGTAATCAGTCCCATTTGACACCTCACTCACTCTCATACACACATGGACAAATCCAATGAATGCAATACAACAGAAAAGTAACAATATCTAACCCAACTCTGTGCATCCCTAACTACATGCTAACTCGTCAGTTCTGGAAACTGCAGTACAAAGCATAACTTGTCCAAGCTCTGGGCCATTACAGATACTTCTGAGAATCTCACAAGCACGGCATGAGAGCAATAATTATTCTTGCCATTTGCTTAAATCCAGCTCAGTGATCTGCTTGAACACTGTAAACAACGAACGACTGAGTTTTCTCACCCTTCTACCCATCTACCCCATCCCTTTTTGCTGTTATCTTTTAAAGTCTAAGTTCCTGGACAGAGACTTAGTCATGATCTTTGGAAGCACACAAGAAACTTTATTGTATCAAAAGACAAGTGAAACCACACACAAATAGCTAAAACCTGGAGAGAAATGACCATGATTTTAAACCAAGTAGCAAACCTTGGGGATGTGGTACTGACTCAGACCTGGCGATTTTTAAGGTCTGTAGCCCTAGAGGGCAATTCATTTGCTAGTACTGAAAGGAGACTATGTGTTCTTTTTGAACGTGCTAGGAGTGTCTCTCTAATGTATTTTCACGCTTCTGATATCTTCCCTGCATTTTCTTTGAACATGATATCCATAACTCAAGCACATTTGCCACATACGGTGATGAAGTAAACAAGTGAAGGTAAAAAGAAAAGTCAGGGGAAATGACTGAAACCAAACTGGATGCTGCTTTCATATCCAACCTGAAAGAAGCTCAAAACAGGAATGGGGGCACAAGGAAGAGATCCGCTCAGCCCATTTTTTAATCTCTGCTATCTTTCAGTAATGCCCTGTCCCAAGATGCTCATTAAAATCACATTTAATTAAAATGGCAAAAAAACCTGTTTTTAAACATAGACAGAAAAAAATAAGTACACTTCCTTTTTACTTATTGTGATGAATATGAATAGAAAACAGTTTCCCCCCCTCTGAAATAGTCTATACTCTGGCAAAGTACCTAATGACAACAGAATGTGAATAATGACAAATGTATCTTCTTGCCCCATCCCAGTCTTCTTCCTGCTCACATAGCCAGCTAAGTGATGTTTTACTCATAGCAAGCATTTTTAAGAAAGGAAAAACCATCAATCCTTGACAAGCCTGAACTCATCAGCCTCTGGACACAGAGGAAGAGGGCAGAAATGGCAACGAGCTGGCTTTAAATGGAGGCTATAGAGAGACGAGAACCAACTGGTTTGCAGCATCAGCCCAAGGTGCCACTTGCTCTGTGGCAGAATACAAGATACAGGTGAAACTTGCCAGGTGTTTATATTATTAAGTGCTAACACATGACAAAGAGATTCAGAAAGGTTCCCCCCCCCTTCAAAAGCCATGCCCGCAATGGAATTAGGAAGTCCGACACTATCATGATTGTGGGACCCTGAAATACCAGCCAAGTTCAGAAAGAAGAATAAGAATAGTAAGAGCAAATCTGTTATCCATTCTGGACTACTCAAAGCAATGACACTCAAAGTAATTGTCTTAGCGGTTGAAGCTCCCGAGATGGAAATGCAAGTCCCAGCTATTCAAATATGCACCATGCATTTTATTCCAGAACAATCCATATGACTGTTTAGGAGCACCAGTGAAGCAGCATACACACTAACAGGTACTACACCCCCATACTATTAATTCATAGTAACAGCACAAACAAAAACATGACTATTGTTTTTCAATTATTATTATTCTAACAGTTCCTAGGTTGCCTTGTAGCCAGCAAGTCAGCACCATAATATAAACTCTAATACAAAACAGTTTGAAAGGAAAAGGTAGCAAATACTATGCTTTCTGAAAGCGAAGGATTCTGTCTCCAGCAGGCAAGCTGACTGAAGAAATACAGTTGCAAACTAGAAACAGATTTCAAGACTTCAGAGAAATAGCTCACTTCCAAACTTGATCATACTTGACACTGAACTGCCATGACTGTGAATGACATAGCAGGGTTCTTTTCCAGAAAGTACTACACCCCCATACTATTAATTCATAGTAACAGCACAAACAAAAACATGACTATTGTTTTTCAATTATTATTATTCTAACAGTTCCTAGGTTGCCTTGTAGCCAGCAAGTCAGCACCATAATATAAACTCTAATTAATACAAAACAGCTTGAAAGGGAAAGGTAGCAAATACTATGCTTTCTGAAAGTGAAGGCTGCATGAGCCCTGTGCTTGTGTCTTCTCTTTAATAAAGGTAGCAAATACTATGCTTTCTGAAAGCGAAGGATTCTGTCTCCAGCAGGCAAGCTGACTGAAGAAATACAGTTGCAAACTAGAAACAGATTTCAAGACTTCAGAGAAATAGCTCACTTCCAAACTTGATCATACTTGACACTGAACTGCCATGACTGTGAATGACATAGCAGGGTTCTTTTCCAGAAAGCATGAGTGACGATAACCTTTGAAAGCCTCCAATACTCGTGTTACACAAATGACACTGAGATGAATAGCAAATACCACTGAGGACCTCAAACATCTAGTTCAGTCATCTATACAGACGAATGATTTCACACTGAATGATTACACTTGTCCTTGGTTCAGAGGAAACACTAACACATGGTTTCTCACTATGCAAACAAGGCTGCATAAGCCCTGTGCTTGTGTCTTCTCTTTAACCCTATCCTCCCCTTTTGTTCTTAAATCAAGTCTATCGTTATCATCAGCCACAGCAAAGTGATGAATGGCCAGTGGCCATGGGAGTTGTAGCCCAGCATATCTAGAAGGGCTCAGACTGGGGAACTCCACTTTAGTCTACAGTCTGGCAATAAATTAAGATCTGAAATTACAATTTCGAATATAGGTTGGTTTTACTTACCATAGTTTTTTTAAAAAAAAATTACCTAGACTTATGATGTCACAGGAAAATGAGAAAAGGGACTTTCAGTTTCCTGCTGGATTTTTCATGTAGTGAAAACCACTGTGGGTGAATTGGAACACTGATTAATCCACATCTTCTAGATGCCTGAGCAGGTGAGTACAGTGGTCCCTCGCATTACGACATTAATTTGTTCCAGCGAAATAGCTGTAAAATGAAAACATCGTAATGCGATTTTTAAAAGCCCACAGAAATGCATTAAAACCCAATTAATGCATTCCTAGGGGCTTGAAACTCACCGTCCAGCGAAGATCCTCCATAGCACGGCCATTTTCGCTGCCTGTGCAGCGAGGAATCCATGCCAGAAAAGAGCGGGCGGCCATTTTGTTTACCCGGCTGCCATTTTGAAACCACCAAGCAGCTGGCTGAAAATCATCACTTTGCGATGATCGGTTCCTGAAGCAGGGAACCGATCATTGCAAAGCGAAATTCCCCCATAGGGAACATCGCTTTGCAATCGCAAAAACATCGACGTCTAGCAATTTCGTCATCAAATGGAGTGCCCGTTAAGCGAGGCACCACTGTATAAGCAATGAAATACTGTAATGCCAAGAACATAGTTTGTTTTTCCTAATATTCACAATGGTTTCAATAGCACAGTAAAAGTTCTCATTTTTAGCTAAGAACAGAGAGGGTGAAAACTCCCTGTTCAACACCAGCCACGAATGCATGTCCTTCCTTAACCGACCAGATAGGCAGGACATAAATAAAATAAAATAAATAAAATTAAAATAAAATAATGCATGTCCTTCGGTCTCTTACCAGATACTGAAGACGCTGACGCTCTGTTTCTGGAGTGAACTCTGAAGACATTGGAATGACTTCTCCATTTCTGATTATAATGGCTCTGTAATATCCAGAAGACACAGTAAGAGTCAGAATAGAGGGACATCTCTTTTGGAAAATATGACTGTTTCAAAATACTGAACTGGTTTCTCATTCTCGCCTGGCAAAGCACAATTAATATGTTCACTACTTTTCTCACCTGTACATACCACAATTAACATACTATTCAGATTTGATCAAGCCAAAAGTTGGAAAAGCTCATTTGTGTGGTGTAGGTGTCCTGTGTCTCAAGCCCTATAGTACACAGCATTCCTATCAGTACAGCACTATGGATTAGAGCACTGCTCCTGTATAGAGTTCTGTGGTATATCTCTCGTTTCTGAACATCCCTTGTCAAGTACAAGCAGAATGGTGTCTGATACACTCTAAACCTCTAGCTTGAAAAGACTCATAGAAACTGCTTTCCAGTTCATGGCTAGTTGTACCTTATATCAAAACATACCTACTTTACAAGCAAACAGATTCAGAAAAGCCAATCTTATTTAAGCCCAAATAAAATTAGGTATCTGTTGAGAGGGCAGAAATGGGATGACTGATGACAAAACTCTTCCCACTCTGTCTCTCAGGTACAACCTCTCACAAACAAGCCCATGGGTGGGGTGGGGAAAATTCTTTCAGAGAATGGTAAATTCTCCATGATTTCTATTAAAGAGTGGTCATGCTTACAAAAAAAGGTTTAAAGAGTAATTTGATCACATGCAACTTTCAAAAGAGATTTGTTCTATTAATGAAAACAAAACCTCCATGGCTGCAAGTATTTCCATTTAAGTGTGTGTGTTAGCTCTTTAATAGAGATGGTTCAGTGGTTTGGCGCGTTTCGTGTCCCGGTTGAACAGCTGATCTGCAGCTTGGTGCCCCGCACCCACCAGGGCCGCCTACTTGGAGGCAGCAGCCAGAGGAGGCAGGGTGCAGCACAACTGCTGATTGGGCACCCACTGGAGGGGGCACGGGGGGGCGAACTGCAGATCAGCTGTTTCGCCAGGAAAATAACCACATCAAACTGCTCAACCAGTGGTTGGTGCCTATCCTCTAGAATGTTTTTGTCTTCTCACGTTTAGACTACCCTCTCCATGATGCTGAGGGAGAAATGAACTAAAAAAAATAGGAAGAAAGAGCTGGATTGTTAGAAAAATATATGTCATGGCCTGAATATACTCTTAAGTGTGAAGACATTTCAAAGAAGCTGGCAGTAGCTAATAAAATAAAATGTGGGGGTGAAGGTGAGAAATAAAAAGGGATACTCTTGAGTTTTACATAGGAAACTAAATTATACAGTACTTTAAAAAAACAGTAGGACCCTCATGTTCATGGGATCAGTATCCACTGTTTCACTTGTCTATGGTTTGAAATTATTAAAAGGGAACAAAAGAAAAAACAACTTTTTTCACATGTATACAACATAAGCAGTAGCATTTAGAACAAACATAAACAACAATGAGATGGATCTCCGTTGCTTCTCATTTTATAAAAGACTGACCTAGTAAAAAAAAAAGTGCCAAAGGTTCTGGCACTATCTACAAGAGGAAATTCTATGTTTGAACTGATGTTTGAATTTTCATCTTTGGGTCTGTGTATAGGTCTAAAAGTGTACAGATGAGAAGCTGATTTTCTTTTTCGAGCATTCCAAGCAGACTGAGCTAAAGAGGATATGTCAGTGTATTGGGGAAGACAACTGGGGAAAGGATGACCGGAGTGCATTACTGCTATTGAAAACATTCAACTGTAAATTCAATAAACCTTAAATAAATAAACATGTGGAAGATAATGCTCAGCTAAGAGATGTCTGATCACTAAGCAGGCTTTGCCAAAGGCTTCTTAAAAGGCCTCACACAGGCCATGTGGCATGCTACGTGTTATTCAGCTGCCGCCATCTTGCTGTTATGACATTTAAATTGGCCCTCTAATCAGTCTCAGCACATGCTTGTCCAGACTTATGCTAACAGCTGTTTTATACTGCTGGCTGCACTGTGCTCATTCTGTACAAAATGGATTTTAATTCACTATCAGATCAACACATACACATTAAAGTCACTTTAATCACTATTTTAAAATATAGGGTCAATAAAAAGAACAAGCTGAATAATTTGTTTGATACTACTAACTAGAAACCTTAGTACACTGATTAACAGAGACCTACTTTATGGTTTTTGGAAGGGAGAATCACTCACCATAATGCACTTGCAGAACAGTACAATGTCATCTATCAGAACGACTATTCACATGTAAAATGGCCAGAAACATGTTGAGAATTTATACAAGCTTAACTATAATGTTGTAAGTTGCTGCTACTCAACAAATGCTATTTATTTATTTATTTATTTATTTATTTATTTATTAGACCAAAGTCTACTCTGGGCGGCTAACAAAAAAAATGGAATAAAAACAATATATAAAGTAAAAAAACAACAATAGTAATATGGCACAAGATGGGGAAAAGAAAAAAAATTCAAGTAATGACAGGAGGGAAAGCCTGCCTAAAGAGCCAGGTCTTAAGTTTCCTCTTAAAAACACCCAGCAAGGGAGCCAGACAGATCTCTGGGGGCAGACTGTTCCAGAGGCGAGGGGCCACTGCCAAGAAGGTCTGGTTTCTTGTTCTTTCTCTCCAGGCCTCCCTCGGCGTTAGGCCCCTCAGCAGCCCTTCCTGGCTAGAACAAGTGGTTAGGGTAGATCTAGGTCGGAGGAGGCGTTCCACTAGATATCGAGGTCCTAAATCATCTAGGGCTTTATATGTCATCATTAACACTTTGGAACCAATGCAGATATGAATGGGCAGCCAGTGAAGGGCAGCTAGAGTGGGAGAAATATGCTGAAGTTTTCTTGTCCCACTGAGAAGTCTGGCTGCTGCATTCTGCACCATTTGAAGCTTCCACATTAATCTCAAAGGTAGCCCCACATAGAGCACATTACAGTAGTCTAATCTCGAGACTACAAGCGCATGGACAGAGTGGTGAGTGCCCCAAAATCAAGAGAGGGACGCAGCTGGGCAATCCAGTCACCAGTCACGTTCCTGGTCATGTGCCAGCTGCACAATTTAGCATATGAACAGAAACGCAAGCAGCAGCTTGTTATTAGCGGCAATTAGCTGCTCCAATTAAACCATTACACTACAGCAGCATAAATCCCCAACAGATTCTCGTTATTTATATTCATATTGCATTTGAGATCACATGTTAACAAAGCAAAAGAGCCTATAGAAGTGTTTATGTTCACAGAAATGCAACCATTTCATTTTATGATAGGATCAAGCTGACAGAACTGTGCACTTTAAAAAAATCTGCTTGAAACATGTGATCAAAGGGACTATTTACATAAGAATGCTCCAGGTTTTAAGAGCTCAGGACACCCACTCAGTCATATCTACTACTAACATTATTACCACCCTTAAATCTTCAGATATGGTTGACATAGATCAAGTGTCCGAGTCTTAGGACCTGTCTTTTTTTGCCTTGTAGGCTTGTTCGCATTCAAAGAGGGCTTTTTGCATTTCATCAGTATAACAATGAAGGGGCTTCAGTGTTGCCACTGAGGTATCCTGATGCAGATTTTCAGGTAAATCTGGATTAGAACTTCCCAGGGTTTTTCATGCTGTTTGTGATCACAAAGGGAAGGTCTTCAGAATCTGGAGATTTAGTAAATTTTTTCAACAAGTATGACTTTGAGCTGGTTTTATAGGGCAATGTGGATAAAACCTTTACAAATTTTACCCTTCTGAGCAATATGCCATTTACCCAAACAAAGCAAACACTTGTCATGTTTGTCAGTCTGTGCCCCCAACAAGCAGCACAATTCCTGAAAAGGACCTCAAAGGTTATACAAATTTTGGCAAGAAAACATCATCTAAGAAGGTGCATAGACATATACTTTTGTAGTGAATAAAGATTCTGAAAATAAGAAAAAATTAGAAAGGTAAGAACTATTTACACTTTGCTGAGATAAATCCAAAGCTCTGTGGTTGCTCATGTGATGGACAAAAGAGCACCGAGGGGAGCCATTAAGGAATGGCTAAGCATGCACAGAAGCAGTGGAGGAGAGGAAAAACTCTTCTGCTTTAAAGCTCTGGAATTTTCCAAGGATGGCTTCAGCAAAGATGCCAAAACCCATATGTGTGATTCACACAGACCACAAAAAAGAACTATGGCTCATATTTATTTCCTATAATATCAGTACTGCTAGTACATTCCAATGGAAAGATATAAAGAGCAGAATTTAAAACATATTTTTGTTCATTTTTGTCAATGCTTTTATTGTTATGATTCATAACAAACAAATAAAATAAAACTGAACTCGGCTTAAGGAGAATATGTCTCATGGAAACATTTGTTTGTTTGTTTGACTTTTATACCATCCATCTGCCCAAAAGCCACTCTGGGAAGTTTACAACATTGTAAATAATAGTAACAATAACAAAATAACAACTTAACAACAATTCAAAATAAAAACAAGATTGGCAACATATTAACATACTTTTTAAAAGTTGGGGGTAATTAAAATAAGTTAGTGGCTAATAGATTCAACGGTTTCTTCAGATGAATTGTTTTGGAAGGTCTGCCGGAATAACAGTGTTTTTAATTATTTCTTTAAAATTGCCAGGGAAGGGGCCAGGTGGATTTCAGGTGGTAGTTCATTCCATAGCCAAGAAAGAATCACAGGGAAGGCCAAGTTCCATGTTTTCTCCCTCCTGGCTTCTCTCGGGGTTAGTATCCTCAGCAGCCTGCCTGGGATGAGCAGGAAAGACAGGCAGTCCCAGTTTGAAATAGGCATTCTGCCATGGGTGGCCCTGACATTGGTGGTTTGGGAAACTCCCTCTACTTTGGGGAGGTGACTCTCCCCACGAAGAGTGGGGTTCGCAGCTTGGGGGTACACCTGGATCCAGCATTTACTATGGAAACCCAGGTAGCGTCAGTGGTCCGCACCGCCTACTTCCATCTTCGGCAGATTGCCCAGCTGCATTCTGATCTTGATGTGGGGGCCCTCACCACTCTCATCCATGCACTTGTAGTC